AGAAGAAAAGGAAGACCTAGGACAAGCTAGACTACCATCAAAGACTGGACAGGAATAAAATTGACTGATTGTACAAGGATTGCAGAAGACCAGGAAGAATGGAATAAAATTATTGCCACACCAAAAGTGCCCCAACATTCAGTGCAGACTTGGAACTAACTTCACTTGTCTTGACTTGGGCCCCCTCTACACATTACATGTATCACACAAATACTGGGTTAACTGTGCAATTAATTTAGACTAGCTACACATGCAAATTAACTATCATGCTATGAAAAGGTCTAACCAGCTATAAAACTATTGTTGGAAAATGTGTAATAACTTTATAGGTAGTTCCCACCCTACTATACATGCAAATTAAAGCTGGATCTGTCCCTGCAGCTGGGAGACCCTGCAGCAGACCGGTAGGGGTGTGTGAAGCAGGCCCTATTCGACTCAGATTTGGACCGAATCAGGGGCAGTGATTTGATTAGTCGATTCAGATCACTGACCCCAATTCAATTCAGCCGAATCCGAACTTGAAGATTCGATGCCGATTCAGAGAATCAGAGATTCGGACATAGACACAGCTTTAAATGTTTTTTCTACATACCTTGAGGTACCAGTGCAGCTTGTGAATGCTGCGATGCTGGGGCGCATGAAGTGTCCCACAGGAGTGAGGGGTGGGGCCCTCCACATGCCCAGCAGTGAACCTGTGGACCGGAAGTACTTCTGGTTCACTTCCAGGTCCGCCAGGGAGCGCACAGGTGCCCCACCCTGCGCCCTCCCAGTTTGGCCAGGAGGCACCAGTCACTGAGCCAGGGGAGACGTTGGGGGGAAGGGGGCAGAGCGCGCTCTCTGGTGGACCTAGAAGTGGACCAGACGTGCTTTTGGTCCACTTCCGGGTCTGCTGCCAAGCGTGCTGTGGGACACTCCATCTGCCCCAGCATTGCAGCATTCATGAGCCTCCTGGTACCTAGAGGTATGTAGAAAAAACATTTAAAGCTGTGTCTATGTCCCAATCTGCAAATCTTTCTGAATTGATTTGGAGGGTTCTGATTCGATTCGGAGAGATTAAAGGGTCCTCTGATTCGATTTAGATTTGGAGATTTGGCCAACGAATCAGGCCGAGTCTCTGCCAAATCAAATCAGGGACCGAAGCTTCGCACAGCCCTACTGACCAGGCTCTCCACTTCAGGGGTGCACCATGTGCAATCAGGGCTGGGAGTCCCACAGCCGAAGGGACTCTCAACCCCAGCAGTGCCCAGCAGCTGCAGACTCTGGGTCCCGGCAGCACCCCACACAGGGCCCGCCTCTTGGTCCCAGCCGCCAGCAGGTGCTTCTGCAATTTCCCAGCCCCAGGGGTGCATGGGGCACCCTGTAGCTTGGAGATCACAGCAGCTCTGGGATCGGGCTTCCCTTGCACCAGCAATAAGGTGCAATGAGATCTAATGGGTGTGCGGGCCGGGAGCGGTCCGAGGCTTTCGGGGGCGCGCGGCGGGCTGTGGCTGGGAGCCCGCAACACTAGGGCAGGTACTTTTGCACGACGGACTAGAATTAGGCACGGACTCGTAGCGGTTAATTAAAGATTGTTTTACTTACACTGTAGGTGGTCGCGGTGCAGGCAGGAAAAACTTTGAGTTGCAGTTACAGACAAACACAAGTGGAGTTTGCTAGGCTCCACCGAAGACACATGCACGGAGTTTGCTAGGCTCCACAAAAACAAACACGACAGAGCTCTGGATACCCTTGACGAGCATGCAAAACCGTAGATACGTCTTAAGAATTTAACGAATGAGATGGGAAGAGGTTGGTGGTTGATCAGGCCTCCGAACTCCTCTGACACACACACAAAGTTTCTATTACTCTGCCGCGTGCTCAGAGTCCCCACGAGATGGTTGTGGAGTCCTCTATAACTTGGGCAGAAACTGCTCTAACCTTTTATACGGCTAGCGAGCCAATTGCTAGCCGCCACGTGGGAATAATTTAGAAATAGCCAATAGTGGGAAACAAATTTACATACGGGTGGCAGGAACTCCTTTGCACCGGGGTTTTCTCTCTGCAGCTGAGAATTGCACCGTGCAAAGAAAGCTCCATGTGGCGGGAAATAATTCTGCAGTGCCGAAGTGCACACACAATCATTGGGTCATGACAATGGGCAATTCCCAAAATCACACTTCCTGTCATGAATGTGTGACGTGGCAGGAGGCTTGATTGCATGGATCACATCTTAGATCCCATCACGCTTTTACCTGCAAGTGTAGAGGGGCCCTTGGTTTAAGCTACATTTTGCTGGTGAAACTGAATCTCAGCATACTTGTGTCATTCAGAAGTAGATGAAGGGTGGGGGTAGATGGAGGATGGGTGGGGACTAAGCCATGGCCAACATAGTTAAGCTGACAGATTTTGCAAATGTAGATCAGTCCTCAAATACCATGAGAAAGGTTGCTTGTGTTTGTCATCGCTATCATGATCAGAACCAGTAAAGATCATGCAAAGAACAGCTGGCTTACCTCAGCCTGTGCAGTTCTAGATCACAACACCTTGTCCTAGCACCCAGAAACCAGACAACCTGCTTTTTTTTTTTTTACTTTTTTTTTAGTTAATGCACCACTCTCCTGAAGGCTACTGTGCAGAGAAAATATAACCCTAAACCTAGTGTTAAAAACCCATAAATTGTTCAGATGCAGTCATTGCTACTGAGCTTCTGTGCCCTGAACCTGGCATTATGCAGGGGCAGGAAGTTATTTTGGGTGGAGGGTTGCTTAATGAGTTTTGGCAAGCCATTGAGGGCCGCATGACAGGCAGCCAGGGGCAATATTAATTTTGTAAATTTTTTAGGGGCCCGGCGGGATGGATAGAATGGCCTGGCAGGCCGCATCTGGCCCACAGGCTGCATTTTGCCCAACCCTGTATTACAGTCATATTAACAGTACTGGGCGCTGCACTTCAAAAGGGATGTGGCCAGCCTGGAGAGGGTCCAGAGGAGGGCCACCCGCTTGGTGAGCGGGCAGCAGGACAGGCCTTATGAGGAGAGACTGAGGGACCTGTTCAGCCTCAGCAAGAGGAGGCTGAGGGGGGACCTGGTGGCTGCCTACAAGCTCATCAGGGGAGATCAACAACAAATAGGTAGAGCCCTTTTCTCCCCAGCACCACCTGGGGTGATGAGGAACAATGGTAATAAGCTGATGGAGAATAGGTTTAGGTTGGAGATCAGAAGGCAATATTTTACAGTTAGGGTGGCCACAATCTGGAACCAACTTCCCAGGGTTCCAGAGGAGGTTGGACAATCACCTGTCTGGGGTCTTGTGAACGCAGCATTCATTCCTGCCTGTGGCAGGAGGTCAGGCTAGATGATCTGTTCAGGTCCCTCCTGACCCTAGCTACTATGAAACTCATGACATGGTCTCTATCCCTAACCTGACTAGCAGTGCAGTATTAAAGTATGTAACTACCTTTCTAGGAATAGCCACTGATTTTGTCTCTAGTACTGGAAAGCCAAATTAGGAGCCTTTTTTCAGAAGCTAGTTGCCCTCATAGCTCCCTTTGAATGTTTTTTGCCTAACAGACACAGCAGCCAGGAGAAACTATTTTGCTTTCTTAAATCTTGCTCTGACACAAACTAGCTGTGTGACACTGCCTATGTCACCTGGCCTCTTGGACCTGGGCAAAAGTCGTGTTTATTCAATTTGCAGCACTGTTGTGCGAGTCACTGAAGGAAGCCTGTGAAGTGCTAGAAGACTTCTAGGCCCATGGACTCTGTACAGGTTTGGCTCAGGCCCTGTGTGCAAAGCATTTTGCTCTGTTGGTGGCAGCGGTGAGAACAAAGACCTGGAGTCATGGTTCTTGTTATTCACGGTCCCATAGCAAATGAGTAGTTTTGTTCCTGCTCCTTCTTGCCCTCTGGGACTGATTCAAATTAAGGTTCACAGCATTTCTAAAGCAGTTTCCTATGGCTGATGTGGCATAAATAGTACACCCCAGAAGTTACTGTCCAGGGTGTGATTGATGATTTATCAGTATTCATTCCAAGTAGCCTGGAGGACCCATTTATGTTTCTTTAGGTTTAATGAATTCTGTCAGACTCACGTCAGACAAATAATAAATTAATCCAGATTTCCTCTGCCTTAGGTTACTTCTCTTTCCTCCGGGGCAGAGGTCCTCAAACTGTGGTTCAGGGGCTCCATTCAGGTGGTCTGCAGAAAGGTGACCTACAGCTGAAGCTGGCAAACATCACACCCGCCTTCCCAGAGCGTTGCTCAAAAAAACCAGGCACATCCATTGTATTAGAGCGGTAAGACTACCGATATTGCAACAGGAGTTGTGCGCGTTGATTTGCACAACAAAAACAAAACGTTTATGAAGCGCTCCGCTGAGTGGTCTGCGGGGAAAAAACGGTTGAGAACCACTGCTCTAGGCCACATCTGCGCCCGCGCCCTCAGAAAAGGGTCACAGCCTCAGCCCGTGGGATCGCATCTAACTTAACAACAAAACCCAGTCGCCCGGCAGCCCTGACCCAGGTCCCGGCAGGGGGGGCGGGCGCAG